ATAAAGTTAAATATCGGCAACACAGCAAGACTGAACCCTCTGCTTCACTAAATCCTCCTCTAAACGTGCAAAACAATCGAATTATACGCAAAAAAGGCTGTTTCTTGCCATCTAATCCTGTGATGCCATGCAAGAAACATCAACAGTGTCGTCACAAAAGATTCTCCACTAGCTACAAGTTGGATAAAAGGACAATAAAGTCATTTTTGGACATACAACATCAGCTGCCCTGGTACCTCATGCATCCTTCTGTTTAAACTTGGTGTCCCTTGTGGCTAAACTGTGACTGCAAAGAAGTCTAATAACAGATCATCACTCGTGCTCGGATCAAGCAGGCCATTCCTCCCAGTCACACCGTACTAGACACCATGTCATTCCCTTGTGAGCATTGAAGTCCCCCAGGAGGGTGGATACTCTCAGCTGCTGTTTGTCATGTAATAGTCACGATCCGTATCCAGACACAAAGGTCCAGGGAAAACAAGAGGTCCACCCTGGCAGGGGTGGGCAATCCGTGGCTCTGGGGCTGCAGGTGGCTCTTTCATCCATCTGATGCGGCTCTCTGCTTGTACACTAATTAAAGAATATTTAATTAAGTTATATTTTATTTTACTGCATTCATTTTTATCTGTATGTCAAATCTAAATGTAAAGATAGTTAACGTAAACCTGAACAGGTCCAACGTTGGCAGGTCACCTGCTTGTGCGTAATCAGGTGTCTCTATAGGAGCATTCTGAGCTGAAGAGGATGTGAGATTCTGGACTTTTCCTCAGACAGGCTCCTGGATGGCTAGTGGGACTGAGGCATCAGGGTGGGCCCAAGTGCAAGTGGGTAAGCCCACCCACAACGCCGCGGCTGCTGCGGCTCCCAGAGTTTTCTTTACTGTGGGAAACAGGTAATAATGGCTCTTTGATGGGAAAAGGCCGCAGACCCCTGACCTAGAGCAACGCCAACAAAAAGGAGAGTCCAGGACCTCTCGAGAACATGAGTTCCAGAGCCAATGCTGTTTGTCAAGTTGAGTCTACATCAAACCGATACCACTTAGCCTCCACCAAAAGCTTCAGTTCCTTCCCTGTCAGAGAGGTGGCATTCCATGTCTCAGATGCAACTTTTTGCTTTCAGGGACGAAGTAGCCAAAGCTCCTAATGCGGTCTGCTACTGAATCAGCAATGCACCAGGCTTCTTCTTCATTTACACCTGCCGGCTTGTGATCGTCTCGCTGCAGACCCAAGGTTGCCATGGATGTGGAAAGAAAACCATTAACTTTGGCATCACAGATCTTATTAAAAACTCTGCAGATCATTTAACACAACAAAAATGTTTTATCACTATTCACGAGGGACCGTGACATTCTACACCGTAAACAAACTGGTAAGAGTGCAGAGTTAGCACTACTTCACATCTTCTCCCTTTGCATGTCTGCGTTTTAGGTCACGAAGACTTGCTTTATTACCCTGTCGATGTTTTAAAAAAGGAGCCTCACAGCTGCATGGCTGTGATATAGTGCTATTTCAAGCATACTGTGTGTGTGTGTGCGTGCGTGCGTGCGTGTGCGTGCGCGTGTGTGTGTGTGTTTTAAAGACCTACATGCTCATAGAACAATGTGAGTACTATTGCTTCCAAAAACCTTTAATATCGCATTGAATTGTTTTCTAGCCCAAGCCAGCTTTACTTATATAGCAGCTTACAACAGCATGAAACCGACCAAAGTGCTTTAAGGAAATTAAAAACATTAAAAACAATACACAACACAAATCTGCATTAAAACTGAAGCTTAAAAACAAAAACTAAAAAGACTCACGCTGAGTTAAAAGCCAAATCATAAAAAATAGGTTTTCATAAGAGATTTCAAACCAGACAGTGAAGAGGCCGACCTGACGCTCAAAGGCACATTCCAGAGCCTAGAGGCAGCTACAGAGAAGCCCCGTCACCTCTGAGCTCATGTCTTGTTTTTGGGACTTCCAGGGGCATCCTATCAGCCGACCTCAGAGACCGTGCAGGGGAGTAAAAACCAGTAGCTCAGAGAGGTCATCTGGAGCAAGGCCATGCAGATTTAAAAGCCCATAAAAGCACCTTGTACTGGATTCTAAAACAAACAGGAAGCCAGTGTAGTCAGGCCAAGACGGGAGTAACATGCTCCATCTTTTTCGTCCCAGTGAGCAGCCGTGCAGCAGCATTCTGCACCAACTGAAGATGCGAGAGGTGGGATTGTGAAACACCAAGGTACAAGGAATTACAATAATCAAGCCTTGATGCAATAAAAGCAGGAATTACTGTTTCAAAATCTTTTTTGACACTAAGTTTTTTACTTTGGCGATCCTTATTATATGATAAAAGCTAGATTTATTCACCGCACTGATCTGCCAGTCCAAGACAAGATCTCCGTCCAGGACAACACCCAGGGAGGTCCCATTCAGGCTCAAGAATGGGGCGAGCTGACCAAGGACAACCGCACCCACCCTAGACAAAGTGCTTGGACCCAAAACTACATCTGTCTTTTTCTCACTAAAAAGAAGAAAGTTAGAGAACATCCATTGCCTAACCTCAACAAGAGACCATAAAGCATGATTGTGGTCCCTCTCAAAAGGCACATAGACCTGGGTATCATCTGCATAGCAGTGAAAATGGCACCCATGTTTCTTAAAAATTGAACCAAGAGGTAGCAGAAACATAGAAAACAACAATGAGCCCATTATGAATAAATACATAAAAATTGTATCACCTCACTGAACCTGATCATTTGATGCTATGTTGATGATACCTAGCTCTATCTGTCATTCCTATCTGATGACCATAAACCATCAGCCCAAATCTTGGACTGCCTCTCCAGTAAATGGAGATGGATAAAAGTTCTCCACATCAACATAACCTCTTTTTAACAGAACTGCTCCAACCATACAGCACAATATTTGCATCCAAAGTGAATCCCTATCTCTTACTTACTCCATCAAATAAAGCTAGCAGACCATTAAACATGTTGCAGCCATTGCTCATTCAAGCCGCTCTGCCTTGTTTAACAGAAGAAAGATCAAGCCATACCAAACACAGTGTGCCACTTTTCACCAAGCTCCATCAGGTTCAAGTCACTCATGTTAGCCTACAAAGTTCTGTATTAAATAGCACCTATGTACTTGAATCCTCTTACAATTGTTTATGTCACAACTCGTCACTCTGGTCATCAAATGACTTTTCACCAGTAGGGACAACGCCAAGCCAAGCCAAGCCAGATTATTTTAATGCCCTGTTCTGTGACAGTGGAATGACCTACTGAGCACTGCTAGGAGACAGCGGTTTATCTTTCAGGATCTTAGAGCCCAGCTCTTCAGAGAGCATCATCTACACTAGCATATAATCTACTGCACTGTCTTTGTGCATTCCCCTCTATGTATCTATCTCTAAACTGTCGCCTCTGGCAGAGCTTGACTAGGTTATTCTGGCTCCTCCTTTTGGTTATGCTGCTATAGGCTTAGACTGTTGGAGGACATACTGGGTTATTCTGGCTCATCTCTTTAGTTATGCTGCTATAGGCTTAGACTGTTGGAGGACGTAACTGGTTTATTCTGGCTCCTCCATTTGGTTATGCTGCTATAGGCTTAGACTGTTGGAGGACATAACTGATTTATTCTGGCTCCTCCTTTTGGTTATGCTGCTATAGGCTTAGACTGTTGGAGGACATAACTGGTTTATTCTGGCTCCTCCTTTTGGTTATGCTGCTATAGGCTTAGACTGTTGGAGGACATACTGGGTTATTCTGGCTCCTCCTTTTGGTTATGCTGCTATAGGCTTAGACTGTTGGAGGACATACTGGGTTATTCTGGCTCCTCCTTTTGGTTATGCTGCTATAGGCTTAGACTGTTGGAGGAAATACTAGGTTATTCTGGCTCCTCCTTTTGGTTATGCTGCTATAGGCTTAGACTGTTGGAGGACATACTGGGTTATTCTGGCTCATCTCTTTAGTTATGCTGCTATAGGCTTAGACTGTTGGAGGACATACTGGGTTATTCTGGCTCCTCCTTTTGGTTATGCTGCTATAGGCTTAGACTGTTGGAGGACATACTGGGTTATTCTGGCTCCTCCTTTTGGTTATGCTGCTATAGGCTTAGACTGTTGGAGGACGTAACTGGTTTATTCTGGCTCATCTTTTTGGTTATGCTGCTATAGGCTTAGACTGTTGGAGGACGTAACTGGTTTATTCTGGCTCATCTTTTTGGTTATGCTGCTATAGGCTTAGACTATTGCTGACATTGTTCTTGAATCTAACTACTGTCGGCATTAATGTTGTGTTCTGTCCTCAAAAGAATGTGTGGTTCAGCGTTTATTGAATTGTTTTCTTTCCTGTCTCCACCTTTAGCTTGTTCTTGCTAAATAAAACTCATATCTCCTCAATGCTGCTGCCCGGTTTCGGCACAGATCTAAGTACGGATTCCAGTCAGTTGACTGGCAACCCCGACTTTTCAGTAATTGGCTTTTTTTGTTTATAGAACGTTGTTGTATTTCATAAAAACGGAATAAAACTGAACTGTTTGTGCTATCTTGATAATTGGCATTTGGTTTCTTAAAACCATTTAGCATCCTGAACAGTAAGTTAAAAGCCTGTTCACTGAGTGAAAAACTAGAGAGACAGGGAGAGAGAAGTGGGAGAAGGCAGTACAGTGTGTGCAGGAGGAGGGAGGATGGGGGCGGGTACTGCAGTGTTAGACCACACAGACAAGATGCAATGACACAGCTCGCTGGTACTTTTAAAGTCACACACACACTCGCTCTCTTTTCTTTCTGACTGCAGATGGCCTGGAAACTCATGTAACATCATATACTGTACCAAAAGGTATACAACTGGTATTCTCATTCACATTCATGCTCATTGGGAAAATCAAACAACAACTATTAAGGGTACATGTTCTAGTTCTGTTTTAGCTCTTTTGTTGTCCTACTGTGAACACGCACTGTTTTTGTTCAGAAAACCAAAGAAAGCTCAAAGTCTTTTCCATTTCTCCGACGCTTACCTCTGATTAGATGGGGTGTCGTGTATCCTGCCCTGTTTCTCAGCGTAGAGCTGCTGTGGTGAGAGCGCTGGAGCACCCGTCCTCTCTCTGCTGCGCTGTCCAGTGAGTGTGTTCCTCTCCCTGCAATGCTTTTATTCTGTGCCCGATTTAAAAGGACGTAGTGGAAGCACGTTAACAGCTCATAAATTAGCTGCTTTTCAAGTCAGTTAACAGGTCCGCTGCCACTGTGAAACACACAGTGTTTGGTTTTTGTTCTTTTAGTTGTTCTGTTATTTTCATAAACTTATTCTCTTTGATTGTTCTCTTTAACACATGTTTTAATGCTTCGCCAGGGTCGATTCTAGCATCAGAGGTTTAGGGGTGCTGAGCACCCAGAGAGCTGCCCATCCAGGCAACAATAGTTTCAGTTTTGTACATTTTGTAAAAAAAAAATTGTAAAATTCAAGCAAAACACTGTTTTCCACAAATCAAAAAAAAGGTCTCACAAATCACAAACAATGGTTTCTGCTATTACAACAATGTAGTCAGGTTCAAAGGCTCCAGGTCAGTGGTCTCCAACTCCCTTCCCCGTTGGTACGGTAACCAGGATGTTTTACTGTTTTTCCTGCTTTAATCAGCAGGTGATTAACAGGCCTCTGCAGAGCTTGATGAGCTGCTGAACAGGTGAATTAAGTGTGTTAGATTAGGGAAACAACTAAAACATGCTGGATACCAGCCCCCAGAGAAGGGAGTTAGGCATACTGGTCTAGGTGTTGTAGTTTTTGAGCTGGACCCGTTCCTATGTGGCTCAGATGCAAAACAAATAGGCCTAAATAAATAAATAAAATGCTGAAATCAACATTTGACTTTCACAAATCACAAACTATGTTTTAAAGGGCAAATAGCAGGTTAGAGACTCCCATGAACCGATGTTTAGAGGAACATAATAGAAACTCATTTTAAACATTTTTTTACACAAACATGAATTATTTAGGCTTTTAGAGTCTTTTTTTGTGAGAAAGTTTTTTTTTCCAAACCAAGTGACGTCAGCTGAGGGAGTCCTGTTAGCTTAATCCAGAGAAAAACATGGACTCTACTGTGACTCTGACACAGAGGAACCTTTAAATGTTTATAATTATTCTTCTGATGGACCAGAACCATAAAGTTATGAGTTTGCTGCTCGCCCCAGAGAGCAGAGACCAACCAGAGGGAGAAAACATCGGCTAAAGCAGAGAGATAGAGGAGGAGAAGCAGCGCGCGGGGGGGTGGGGGGTGGGGGGGAATAGCTTGTGAGTTAACAATGCTAGCTTAGACTCGTGTGCTAGCATCACAATATAGTACAGATTACTATCATGTACCAGACAGTTTTATTATAGTATTATTATTATTATTATTAATATAATATTAATACTAATGAGCGTCTGTCAGCTGTCTCATACTCGTTAATATCCATTCACGTAACATAGTTTAGCTTAGAGAGATGCCTGTCAGCCGGTTCTGGAGCTCTTGCGGGCTTCTGTGAGCTGGATCTGACCTAGACACCAGCTCAACTGGCCCGCTGAGCCACGAGTGTCTTCTGGTGGTCGGTTCTGACCTGGTTCTGACGGTGATCCAAGCTCCAGAAATCCACATTTCACTCATTTGCAGCCAGCCGTTTCCTGATCGGTAAAGCCCTTCACTGCCAGCGTTTCTCACAGTTTTTACTGTTTTTTTAAGAGTCACAGAAAGTTGTGCACTAGAATGATGTCGACGCAAAACAACCGAAACAACGTGGAGACTCACCTCTTACATCAGGAAGAATCTGCGTGTTTTGATCGTTATTCGTTCTTTCCTAATCCGTTGAATTGTGATCGGCAGAAGCTTTTCCGGTTTGCTCCTCACTTTTTTTACGGGAACGGCCCAAAACGATCTCCTAACACATGGATTTTATGCTTCCTGGTCACGTGACGTGTGATGTATGCGGATGAAGGTCGGCTTTAGAGCTGAGATGTTTTTTCTCATGGTGCAGGGGCTCGTCCGACGCCCACACAGTGAAAAAATTCAAATGACGACTTTAGCCGTCAATGGCAGTGAATGAGTTAATATTGTAAACCCCTCCACGGGTCTCCGGAGCCCAGTGCGGACCTCCCTGACCCGGTACCGACTGATGTGAGCTACAGAAGTCCGTCTTTTCAGCCGCAGAAACGCCCTCAGGCACGGAGATAGAGGCGTTGTTTCTCTTGTCTGTAAACCCGTGGACTCGATGTCCAGACAGGCTGGAGCCGGTACAGCCTTCACACACTCTAGTTTATCAACATGAACACAACCCAACACTAGTAAACACAGACACTGACTGGATAACACGACCTCTACCCTAAAACTAGCCACTCTCCACACTGAACTGAGGCAGCGCCTAGCTTCTAACTCCCTGTGGTTACGTCAGAGGTTCAGATTTAGAAACAAGAGCCTTTTTAGAAGCTTTAGTGAGAAAGGCCACTTTTTACTCCAATAGAGCTCCGGACGTCACGTGACTCTCAGAGAGTAGACGCCATGTTGGCAGGCAACAAATGTAAACAAACTGAATGAGATCAGCTTGGATTTTACTTCTTCGGAGTTTACTTCACACGTTAAAACTGAAGAAATCGTTTTATATAGTCAGAAATTAAATAGACTAAACATCTCCGACCCTTACCGTGCCCCTGGGATACTTTTTAAAAATGCCAGAAGCTGTCGGAGCGGACTTCTTACCGGACCTGGCCAGGGAACGCCTTGGGATTCCCCCGGAGGAGCTGGCCCAAGTGGCTGGGGAGAGGGAAGTCTGGGCCTCTCGACGCTACTGCCCCCGCAACCCGACTCCGGATAAGCGGATGAAAATGGATGGATGGATGGACAAATAACAGATTTACAGGTAAGTAGTTTAAATAGAGTGCTGTGCTGTTTGAATGTATAAACTGAACGCCAAGAGAAATCACTAGTCTGATTGTTTTCCGTGAATAAAATAAAAATGTCAGGCAGGAGCGTCTCAGGATCTGTCTGAGATCTGTCTCGGTGAGACAGATAATAGCAATCCAAAGTGCTTTTATGTGTGATCTGACAATTGATCAACCATTGCTTAAAAATTAAATACAGCTTAGCCGGTTAATTGCTGTGATCATAAAACACGGAAACGGCAGCACGCAGAACTCACGAGGCAACGTTTTACGTGACGTTTACTTGTTGCTATGAGTAATAAGACAGAAAAAGCCACGCCAAAATAAGTTTAGGAAGTCCACTAAGAATCGTAATAAAAGCATTTAAAATAAATACCGTACACAGTTGAGGAAACGTTGGTTTAAGTACCTGATATGAAGCGGTCGCTGCATAAGCGAAAACCTTTACTCTCGAGATCCCACAGCTTCATTTCAGCCAGGTCACTAGCGCATTTTATTACAATGATCCAACGTTTGCGGCGCTCCGGATCTTGGGGAATTCTGTAGATGGCTCATTCCTTATGTCGTCCGCGTCTGTTCTGCATCCTGGGGCACAACAGGAATCTACCATATTTCCTGTCTGATTGAGTTTTCTGACAATAACAAATAGTCCAGCTGCCGGCTTCTGCCTGCCAATTTGGCGCCGTTTTGATTTGAACTGTTGCATGCCGGGAGAAGTGACGTCAACTCCCGGAGCTCTATATCTGTGCTGTTATGTACTTTAAAACAAAATATCCACAATAAACTTTTCAAATAGGACATTTTGGATAGCATTTTATATGAATTGGAAAAAAAATGTAACCTGCAATTTGCTCTTTAAATTTCTGCCATTAGCGGGAAGTGAGCTAGTCCAGGTTAGATGTGTCCAGGGCTGTTTCTCAATGCCAAGGAACCTCACCTTGATGTCTTGGCCCCGCCCCGGTTGCCTAGGAGTTATGTCATCAGGAACCGCCAAGACGTGTTCCAATGTTTATGTTCTACCAAGAAGTGTGTTCTTGTTAGCTGTTTAGCTAGCTGAGCAAGGATACACGAAAGGTGTCTTGTAGCCTAGCCTTGGTAAAAAATTACCCAGAATACACCGCAGTATTTTCTAAAGTATTGCAGATTGGAAGCCGGCAGCTACTTCAGGGGCTACCGTCTCGAAAGGATGAACTCAACGGTTGTCAGTATTTTAAAGAAATACGTGTCCTCTAATTACAGAGACTGGGATGTGACGCTTCCGTTGGTCCTGATGGCCATACGGGACACTCCTCATGAGTCTGCAAGCGTCTCCCCATTTTAATCAATCAATCAATCAAAGCTTTATTTATAAAGCGCCTTCCGCGACCCTGTCAGGAAGCCCAAGGAGCTGAACATGGTACATGAGAAAGTTAAGTAGGGTGAATATATCGAAAATAAAAGCAATTCAAATATTACAAAAAAAGGTAAAACATTCTAGTAGAAGACAAGTGTGTAAAACAATTGATAGAGAGACCAATGAAAACAGGGAAATACAATCAACATAAAAGAGGGCCAAATTCAAACATGTTCAGGGAACGCCAAGCGGAGGTGGTGCGTTTTTAGGTGACTCTTAAAGACTGGCAGAGATGGGGACAGCCTAACTGAGGGTGGCAACTGGTTCCAGAGTGACGGTGCTAGGACTGAGAAAGCCCGGCCCCCGCGAGTACGACACCTAGACCGAGGGACAGCGAGCAGGCCTTGGTCAGAGGAGCGCAGGGCGCGTGATGGGGAGTGTCTGTTCAGGAGTGTGGCTAGATAGGGGGGAACACCACCCTGGAAAAAATTGTAAACGACGACGAGGAGTTTAAAGTGTGAACGATAGCGAACCGGAAGCCAGTGCAGGGAGGTCAGAACCGGACTGATGTGGTCCCGTTTCCTGGTCCCAGTCAGGAACCTGACTGCGCTGTTCTGCACAACCTGTAGGCGACACAGTGATGACTGACACAACCCTGCATATAGAGAGTTGCAGTAATCAAGCCTAGAAATGTGCAACTAAGTGATAATTTCATAAATGTAATTTAGAAATATCCATTAAAATGTAAACAAAACTGAATTAAAAAAAAGACATTTGGCATTTGGGTGTCTGTAATTTCTGTCACTTCCTGGTTGGCTTCAGGTCTGGGAGCCTCGGGTTTGGCCTTGGTCAGGACACTCTACTGCGCGGTGGTAAACGTTTTCCAACAGTTTTGTTTGGGTCATTTGTGTGTTTTCTTCATGGTTCACTTTTATTTTCTTTTTACAGTTCCAACATTTAGAAAAGGTCTGAAGCAGAAAGGCCTGCGTTGCTGCTCCTGTCTCAGATGGTAACATCTAAATCGGATCCAGGCTCTATACAACTGTCAAAAACATTCTCTCACAGCCAAAACCTTCTACATGAACGTCAACTTTTTAATTTATCCTTTCAAAGTAGAACAGTCTGACAGCTCCCAGCAGATTATCCTGGACTTGGATTACAGATTTATTTTTGGTTCTAAGTCTCTAGGAGTGGATTCAGAGAAAGAGATGAGGCAGCAGAGTTTAGTGTTGGTCTCCTCAAAGCATGCTTTCCCTGAACATGTTAGAATAGTAGGAAGGAGGTATCGGCTGTAGAAGTACAGGTCATTCATCATGTTGGTTGGTTACATTGGTGACCGGACTTCCTCACGTCTACAACTCAAGTTTAGTGACAGCCTTGAGGACCGGCTCTGCTGCTGGTTTCTGTCTGGTCCACAACAAGGCCAGGCCAACCTCCCTGAAGTTCTGATTGGAGCAGTAGATCAGAGGATTCAGGCAACAGTCCAGATACGACATCACTGAGGAAAGTGTTCTTAGCCAATCAGGTGCTGGGTTTGCGTCCATCCTACCCAGCAAGATCAGCTGAAAGGTGAACAGAACACAAGAAACAGTCAGTCGGTATTAAAACTGCCGGTGTCTGTGATTTAACGGTTACCATATGGGATTTTAAAAATGAAATATGTCACAGATGAACCAATGCACCAGTTTTTCAACAGTAACATCACAGCACTAACACATTAGGAGGATCTCTGTGACGCCAATGTTTGTTTTTCACCATGCTTAATGTGACTGGGTGGCAAGAAACTGTATTTCTACTATAAATTGATTGTTTTGCACGTTTGAAGAAGGATTTTAGCGAAGCAGATGGTTCACTATTTCCATATGGTTGCCAGTACGGTCTGTTGTGGGCTTGATAAAACGTTTTCTTGGAATTTCGTCCTAAAGGACCACGGAATAGCAAAGAGACTCATTGGGTTCATGCTAAATCATTGTGACTAAATATTTGTTCATAAGAGATGTTTTACCTGTATTTTGTAAAACCACAGAGTCATTGTTTTGTCATTCTGACTCAGGTGCCTCAAACTGTGATAATTTCTAAAAACAAACAAATGAAATATTTAAATAAGGACACTTATCAATGAAGACTTCTCCGGCTTTGCAGTCTCAGTGAGAAGTTTGCCGTTCTCCTAGACAGTCACCCACAGGTGATGTGAACTACGCGGACTCTGCTGGCCAGGTCTGACTTCGGCTTTTAGAACGACCATGGCTGTTTGCTGTGCAGAAGAGGTCACCCCAACTTTCAATCAATCAATCAATACTTTATTTGTTATCTGACGACCTGGTAGTCTTGAGCAGCAAGCAACAAACCCCCACGAAGGAATGCAGACAGATGCTGTGAAAACCCGACCCCCCCTCGGATTGGTGGACTTCAGCCTGGCGAGGTCATCAATCTGCAGGAGTCAATGTGCTCTTCGCTTCTCCCAAGATCTCCCTCCCACCTGTGACTGTAGAGTAGATGAGCGCCGTAGATGGCTGCTCTCGCTGGGGGAAACAGGATCCCAGTAGTTCACAGCATCTGTCTGCATTCTTTCATGGGGGTTTTATTTGCTTGCAGCGCAAGGCTACCAGGGCGTCAGATTCAGATAACAAGAATTTGTTTGGGTCAGGCTGAGACAATTTTCCTCTCTGCCTTCAGTCTTTAAAATGATCATTCCAGTCCTTCAGTGAAGCCAATTTTGGGTTTTAAACTTGTCCAGTACCGTCCGGTGACTCTCTCCGAGATGACATCCATTTTGCGCACTAATACCGGTATTGCAGCTAGAACATTGTCCAGCTTACGATTTACCTCCAGTAACGTACCAGTCTGTGAAGTCTCCACACGGACGGTGCTTTCCGTGTGTGCGGGGTCGCCCTCCAATCACTCCCGTCTTCTCAAATTTCCAGAAAACCAGATATCCTCCCACTCCAATCAGGAGAAATCCAGTGATCATCAGGCCAAATATCCACACGTCTTCGATGTCCTCAATGGACAGCTGGCTGAGGCATATGATCTTCCACTCCGTCCAGGAATCCAACATATATCCCACCGGGTGTGTCCTCTGTGGACATGCGGGAGCTCCCTGCTCCGTTCTCATTGTTGAAAAAATCGTATCGATCGCATTGAATGACCAGTTTATCAAATCCATGGTTAGTAAAAATAGAGTTTTTCAGAAGAAATGCAGAGAGGCGCTCTGTGGGCAGACAGGACAAAGAGCCATGGGAAAAAATGATAAGGGAGCGAAAGAGGGAAGCGTCTGTACTCTCAAGTGCCTTGTGAAGAAGGAAATCCTTGAGACAAAATAACCATAGACCTCCAGACTAGTGAAAGCCCTTAAACTTTCTTGAGTGAAGGGTCCGGGGCGAAGTAGGAATAAATGTCTCCCCAGCAGATTTGTGGTGGAGACACCAGCGAATTGGACCGTTTTTTGTCATCCCAGAGCTTCTACGGGCTTTGAATGACTTTAATTTTGTTGTCAATACAGATTTTGAGCTTCTCTGTAAACCTCCTCCTTTCCTCCGATGATAAAATGTTTATTTCTGTGGATTTCTGCAACAAACTGCTGACCGCAGACCACTTTGTGAGTTTTCTTGCCACCTAACCACTCGTGCAATTGCACAAAGATGTCATTGTCCTTCTATTACACAAGTAGAAAATTCCTTCACTATTTACAGTTTTCTGGAGCCTGGTCCTAACAGAAATCTGTTTGGCTTGTTAGACTACGATGTCAGAGAAAGACCAATGAGAGAAATGGACAACCCTGTATGTTATGTGTAGATACCTCAGACACAACAAAGGGAGTGTAGCAGATCACATAAAGAGTCACTAACCAAGGGGCCACCTCAGACAGATCCTTATCATCCCTGTGACAAAGAACAGAGAGAAGAACAAGCTTATCATCCATAACATCACAGTGAAGTGGTGATGGTACCCAGGAAGCAGAACCAGTGAGATGCTGAATTGGCTAATCCAAATCTACCTAACCCTTTGGAATTATGATAATCTGAAATGTTCACCAAACTAAAGGGAATCGCCGGTGTGTCCTATTTCTGCTGAACAAAAAGACAATTTAAACAGCACTACAGACAGTTTCAGTTCCTGTTGCATTACCTTCAGTTATAACGAACAGATTGTGCAACAACACAATAACTATAAGAAATATCTCCAAACTGAGAAGGTTGGTGTCAAAACATGAACATGAAATGGTTCTCCATGCCTTTATCTCCTCCCGTCTACATTACTGTAACACACTCTTAACATGTTTTAACAAAAAAGCCCTTAACCTCCTTCAGTTGGTCCAGAACTCTGCAGCGAGGCTCCTAACTGGAGCAAACAGAAGAGCACACATCACTCCTGTTCTGATGTCTCTGCACTGGTTACCCGTTAATTTTAAAGTTCATTTTAGAATCCTGACTAGAACCTTCAGGGCTCTACATGGTCAAGCTCCTCCCTACATTACTGAACTGTTAAAGCCTTATGCTCCAACCCGAGCCCTCAGGTCCACACACCAGGACCCTCAATCATCAAGCACTCGTAGAAAAATTCCAATATTCCTTCGCAATTTTGAATGTTTGTACGAACAGTCAAAATCTTGCGGTGGCCTCTTGTTTGCATGTTCTTCCACACTTGTCTGATGATAACTCCCACCCAGGTGCTTGTCTCTGTTCTCAGACACGCCCTCAATTAACTATATTTGGTCACGCTACGACCTCAGCTTGTGAGAGAATTCCCTGCATTCTACCTGGGAAAAAAATTAAAAGTTTGTTGCGAAATCGAGACGCTGGATGCCGAGGTACAAAAGAACCAAACAAGTTGCAGAGGTTATGAACGTGGTCGAGACCGAGAAGAGGTCTCTGGCAGGAATGAATTAAAGATTGAATCTGACAAATCATAGAGTAACTGGTTACTTACTTATTATAACACAACAAAGCCAAAAACCCAATCTGGTGATGCCGACGGGGCCAGTAAAGACACCAGTCTGTAAGGTAAAGTTAACAAGTAGATGACCAGTTTTAAGTGTTCAGCTTTCACATGACATGGAGTTCATGGTGTTCTTTCTGAAATGTGAGTGTAGCGAACGCTAACCGGCCATTGTTGTGTGCTATGGCAACACCAGAAGTCACTAGTTCGCTGTTTTTCTCTGTTCTAAACGCAATTTTCTTTCTTTGGCTGTACTACGATAGGTAGGCAATTGTTTGAATGTGTTCTAAGCTATGTGTTTTGTTTAAATCGTTGTATTTATCCTTGTAAACAAGAGTGCATGTATTCTACGTCAAAAATCACACAACTGAAAATTCCCTCAGGCACCAAAATGAGAGAAAACAATAGCGTGGGTGGAGAGAGATGTTTTGTGTTCTGGTTAAATTAACTACAGCTGGTCTACCAGGCGAACAAGGTAATGATTACTGATATAAGCTGTATTATCAGGTGTGTCACATTATAACTGGTGCTGTGTTATAAAATGAATAGAGGTTTTATTGAGTTTATCCCAAGACTGTATGTTTGTTCTTATTTGTCTTGTAGTTTTCACGGCATCCTGTGGTTCAGCAAATAGAATTAAAAGGAAGCATCAGTAAGAAATGTGGATTCTTGAGACCAATGTAGTTACAGTTAGTGGGACCAATGCGGGTCTGGTAACATGTCATCATCCAGCATCATTACAGCCACCAGCCTTCTGGGTGAAAACTCCACTTAGAATATAATTAAACTTCCAGAACTAAATATGCACAAGTTTCAAGTTTAACTACATCACAAAAGATTTAGCTGGGGTTTGTTAGACTACACTCAAGGTCAGCTGAGAAGTGTATATAATAAGGACCACCACTTTGTTATTTTACTTAAATTGACATTTTGAGCAGACTTCACTGGAGTCATTAGGTATTAGCTGACTTTTTCCCCCCACTCCTTTTCAAAAATAGCCATTTCTTCTGTCTCAGTTCAGCTTGAAACTGTTAAAAATAAACACAAAGACAAAAACTCAGAGTTCATTTTATTGTGGTTGGGTAATAATTTTAAACATCTTCTATTCTGAACAGCCTATTGGTTTCTATCATATTTGGCTCAGCCATTATGGCAGTTTCCCACAATAGGCGGTCCGGCCCTAGCCCGCAAACCTCCACTTTCAGGTTTACTGAGGCAGTGCAGTATGGTGTGCCTCCTGTCAGCTCCACAACAGTTAACGGGTTCAGTCTTTTCCATGCTATAGTGTCAAGGCTGGACTATTGTAACGAACATATGCTGGCTTGAGTCAGGCAGCATTGAAGTGGCAGCAATTGGTCCAGAACTGCATTTGCCTCTTTACATTGGTTGCCTGTCTGGCTAAGTTTAAAATCTTGTTGCGGGTTGTGCTCCTTCATATCTGGCTGCATTGTTGAAGCAACCTGTAAAAAAAGACTGCATGACTGAAGTGATTCATCATCATCATCATCATCATCGTCATCGTCATCATCATCATCATCATCATCATTTATTTATAAAGCATCTTCTTAAACTTGTCATGCCCAAAGTGCTTTACATGACAATGAAAAACAACCTTATACCGTTTAAAAATAAATAAATAAAAATATTAAAATACAGTAAAATCTGTAAAATTATAAAACCATCTAATACCCAGAAAAAAGCAGTAGAGACAATAAAATACATAGAATAAAACAAGACTCACTCCTATAAGAAAGCCAAAGAGTAAAAACGGGTCTTTAATCTACTTTGAAAAACATACAGTGATGGAGCTTGCCTGACCACCAGCAGGAGATCGTTCCATAATTTAGATCCATTTACCTATGGAACTTCCAAAAGGTCCAATATAGTAGATATAAGTGGCTCTGTTGGAACGTATCAGGTTAGAACATTGCACAGATATGGTGGGGCAGTTCCCAGCTGTGATTTAAAAACAAAAACAAGAATCTTAAAATAAATTCTAAAATGAATAGGGAGCCAGTACAGGAATTCCAGTATGGGAGTGAAATGATCTCTTCTTCTGGCCCCCTTCAGAAACCTAGTGACTGAATTTTGGACCCTTTGTAGTCTAGATATGGAAGCTTGATTAATTCCAGTACAAAGAGAGTTACAATAATCCAGACGCGAAGTAATAAACGCATGCATCACCATTTCTAAATGGTCATGTCACAGAAATGGTTCAAGCCTTGTAATACTTTGCACGTGAAAAAAGCAGGATCTAACAACAGAGTTTTTCTGATTATCAAATTTTAAGGCTGCATCAAATTTGACACCCAGACTGGTCACCACATCTTTCTAATAGGGAGCCAGCACGGAGAGATCATATGGATGTTCCACACCCACCATAGCATTAGGTTTAAAAATGATTACTTCAGTTTTTTCTTATTAAAATTCAGAAAGTTAAAAGTCATCCATGACCTGACATCACCCAAACAATATAAAAGAGAACTGGTCAAGCCATGAGCATCACAACGTAGGGGAATGTAAATCTGACAATCATCAGCATATATAATGGAACTTAACACCATGCTTATGCAAAAGTTCCCCAACTGACAAAAGATACAAGAAGAAAGAAAGAGGCCCTAACATAGATCCCTGAGGCACTCCCCAGGTAAGTTCAGATGGAGACGATGAAAAGCCACCCATCCTCACACTAAAACATCTCTTACTTAACCCTCTAAAGGCAGGCAGAAAGATTTGCAACGTTAAATCCTACCTACCTGGTTACTCCACATACGTATTTCATGAGCATCTTTTTAACTCAGAAGTACCCCTGAAGGACTTAGTTGTTCATCCTTTCATCAAAACTTACTTTGAGCCTGAGAGGGTTAAATAAGAGTTGATCCATTGAAGCGCTGAACCAATGATGCTTACCAACTTCTCTAAGCGATGCATTAAGATGAGATGGTTAACTGTATTAAACGCAGCTGTCATGTCTACTAACAGCAGCAGAATGGCATCCCCAAAGTCATTTGCTAACATAACGTTATTAAGAACCATTAATAGTGCGGACTCTGTACTATGACCCTTCCTAAAACCTGATTGGAATACCTCCAAACTGCAGACAAACCAGAGATCAACAGCAGAAGAGGCCTGGCTGCATCAGCTCTGCAGTCTCTCTGGAAATCACTCTGGCAGCACAAGACCATCCCATGCAAGACGAAGCTCCATATTTACAACTCTGCCAAACTCTCCATCCTTCTCCATGGCTCGGAGACCTGGCCCTTAAACAAGACTCTGGCTACAAGAATTGATGGCTTCGATAGCAGGGCTCTGAGAACTATTGAGAACAGCAGGTTGCCCTAGCGGGTCTCCAACTAAGTGCTAAGAGAAAGCACGCACCAGCCCAGAGTATCTTGCTTGGCAGTACAACGCAGCACCCGCTGGCTCGGCCATGTCCTCTGTCTTTCTTTTGACCATCCGACCAGAGCCATTTTGCAGTTTGACCTGAGGGCCGCAGGCTGGAGACAACCACGAGGTAAACCCCGCACCCGATGCCTCTATGTCGTTGCGGGCGACCTCCAATAATTCGGAGTTGCCGTAGCGAATGCAGAGCAGCTGGCACAAAACCGCCAGCACTGGAAACAACTGGTTCACCTGGTAGGCTCAACGCACTGGTGCGGGACAACACCCAACCCTTCGCAGGAGCCTTGATGATGACGAATACCTCCAGGATTCCAGAACCATCTAAGAATACCACCAACTGGTCGTGCACGACCTTTTCCAAGATCTTGGACAGACAGGGCAAATGTGACACAGGCCTGTAATTACTGACCGATTTAAATCTGCCTTCTTCAGCAGAGGTACCACAGCTGCATGTTTTAGATGTTCAGGAGCAACACCAGACCTCAAACTGTTAATAATAATGCCCAAAACAGTGGGGCCAATGTTTTAAAAACCTATTTAAATAGGCGTGCAGGAAGAGCATCGTGGGGAGAGCCTGGTGGATTTGAGTGAGAAACCGACTCCTGTAACTCAACAAGTGACACTGGCTGAAAAGAATCAAACATGACCCCAGGGGGTATCAGTGCTACTGGGTCACGAGAGCTTGGAAGGGCCCCAGCCCTAGTGATTGCATCCTTATTAACATTAAAAATAAAGGAACATGTGGGTTTCAATGAATGATTTCAGTGAAGTAATTGTGATTTGCATCCTTGACAGCCCTTTGGTAGCAGACCCAATTATTTTTTAAAACCTCTTTGGACACCTGTAATCTGTCCTTATTCCATTTATGTTCTGCTGCCCTACACTCACGCCTAATTGCCCTAGTGTTTGCGTTCATCCAAGGTTCAGTATTGAACCTTTATTTCCTTGTGCGAACCGGGGCCACAAGATCTGAAGCAGCTGTACATAACGAATTCAATTCTGCAAAAAGATCCTCAGTGTTCAACGACACTGCTGACTGTTGAGACCGCATAGTGCAAAAAACACCTGTAAAATCAATGATGTCATCACTCTACGCTGGTTAGCGCAAACTGATCTCCTAGAAGGTTGACTAGGGGAAATAAAGCCAAAGATACCAGGCATGTGATCTGAAAACGTTGCATCCATAATATTCACACGACACACAGGTAAGCCCATTGAGAGCACCGAGTCCAGGGTGTGACCGCTCTGATTGTATGGAAGGTCACAAACTTTTAACCTACTCTTTTACATTGTGTCACATGAAATGGCTAAATGTTTGTTAGCTTGTGTACCTGCTGACCGAGTAGCAGCTGACAGCACTCAGTACAGAGCAAACGAGCATTAGGAGGAAGGGAAGAAAGATGCAGATGGAGAAGGCACAGAGGATGTAGATTATCATGTCTGAGTGTCTGCTTTCCCAGAAAACCGCGCACAGCATTTCTGCAGGATCATATCTGAAAGCAAAAGGAGACACGTTTGTGGTGTTCACTGACATTAAAAATACTGCAGAGCAAACTACAAACCTGATCCAGGAGAAAACAACAGGAATCATCCCAAACACCAGCCCTGTTAACCAGGAAGTCACACATGCTGCTACCATCACGACAAACAAAGCACTTCTGGTGGAGCTTGTTCCAATAAGCCGCTGCATGCAGAGGACCGCTGGAGAGGAGATGAAAACACAAATTATATTAAAGTATAGGACATAAATACTGCAGAAACATTTACCTCCAATACAGGGAGTGCAGAATTATTAGGCAAATGAGTATTTTGTCCACATCATCCTCTTCATGCATGTTGTCTTGAACAAGTGAGTCTTCAGCTGCTTTTTAAAGGAGACCACTGAGTCCACTGATCTCAGGCTCAGGGGTAGAGAGGTCCAGAGTCTGGGGGCCACAGCAGCAGATGATCTGTCACCTTTGACCTTTAGTCTGGTGCTGCACAACCAGTAGGCTTTGATCCCTGGACCTCAGGGACCTGCTGGGGGTGTAGGGACTAAGAAGATCACCAATGTAAGATGGTGCTTGTCCATGTAAGGCCCTATAGACCAGAACCAGGATCTTGAAATGAACCCTGAAGTTGACTGGCAGCCAGTGAAGCTGGAGGAGAAGCGGGGTGATGTGGGTGTGTTTGGAGGACTTGGTCAGAAGCCGAGCACAGGCGTTCTGAACCACCTGTAGACGGTTCAGGGAGGTTCTGCTCAGACACGTGAAAAGAGAGTTACAGTAGTCTAAGCGTGAGGAGATGAAGGTGTGGAGAACTGTCTCAAGTTCAGAGCGGGACAGAATGGGACTCAACTTAGCAACGTTCCTGAGATGGAAGAAGGAAGAGCGAACAAGAGAACTGACATGAGAATCCAGGGTGAGAGCTGGGTCAAAGGTCACGCCAAGATTCCTGACGGAAGGTTTGGTGTGAGAAGCAAGCTGACCAAGAGAGTCTCTGACTTTGGGAACCAGCTTGTCTGGGGCACAGATGAGGATCTCAGTCTTATCTTCATTCAGCTGAAGAAAGTTCCCACCATCTAGGTTTTGATAGAGTCTAAGCAGGTGTGTAACAGCTGCAGCTTAGACATCTCATGGGGCTTAAAGGAGTTGTACAGTTGGATGTCATCTGCATAAAGATGGTAGGAGATTCCTTTGAAGGAGCTCAGAATGTGCTGAAGAGGAAGCAGATAGAGGAGGAAGAGCAGAGGCCCCAGCACAGAACCTTGTGGGACACCATGGGTAAGAGAGGTGGTGGAGGACCTAAACTTGGAGACGGCAACAGAAAAAGAGCGCTCAGAGAGATAAGAGGAGAACCACTCCAGAGCAGATCCTGATAGGCCTACCCAGTCTCTCAGCCTCTCCAGTAGCAGGTGATGGTCAACAGTGTCAAAGGCTGCAGTCAGGTCCAGCAGGACCAGAACAGAACAGTCCCCTGCATCACTGTGTGTGGAGGTGTGGAGGGACAGGGTCAATAGGAGAACCTGACGGCTTCAAGGCAGACAGGAGGTTCTCAAGAGAGGACAAAGAAAGTCATCTTCGTCTTCGTCTTCCTCCGCTTATCCGGGTCCGGGTCGCGGGGGCAGCATCCCAAAGAAAGTCAGTCAAAGTTATCAAGAGACCGATGCAGGATTGGTTCAGGAAAACTAGTTACATAGGGAGAAGAAATCTGAGTCCGGATACTAGCAAGTTTTCCTAGAAAAAAATTCTAAAATTGAGTGCATTGAGCATCTGAGGTAGTAAGAGAGTGGTGGTCACTGGCTGAAAGAACAGCACTGAGGGTCTGATACAGGACACGCTGGTTGCCAAAGGATGCAGTAATAATATTTGAAAAGATTTTATTACGGGCATCTCTAACTACTTTCTGGTAACGAGTCCAGGTATCCATCATTATTTGGTATGAAATCTGGAGCTTATCCTTTTTCCATCTACGCTCGGCTCTTCTGCACTCACGTCTGACAGATCTGGTAGTTGCATTGATCCGGGGATCCGACCGAACTTTAGAGTGTCTAGTCCTCATAGGGGCTATCTGATCTAGCACAGTAAGGCAGGAAGATTGCAAAAAGTGCAACAAATCATCAGTGCTGGAAAACACCGGCAAAGTGGAAACAAGATCAGAGAACAAAGTACAGAATTCTGCTGCAGTAGATGGAGTAAAAGATCGGGCTCTGCGAGCAGGCATTAAATTAATTTAAGAGGCATTGGATCTATGAAGGTGAAACAAAACCGGAAAATGATCTGAAATATGGACAGCATCAACAAACAGGTCAGTGATCTTCAAGCCATGAGTGAGAACCAAGTCCAAGATGTGAGAACGTTCATGTGTTGGCATATTAACCAACTGGGCCAGGCCAAAAGAGTCAATAACATTTAAAAATTCTCCCACAAGAGGCTTCTCAGGGCAGCAAACATGATTAAAATCACCTAAGATAAGAACACGGTCATAGTGTGAACAAATATCAGATAAAATATCAGAAAACTGAGTTATAAAGTCGTTGCTGTATTTGGGAGGACGGTACAGCAAGGCACAGAGAACGGGAGGTGAAGAACACAGCTCAAAGGCAGTTAACCACGCGATTCTACTCGATCGCTTGGAACGATGGGTTGGGATCAAAGGGTCAGCTCTGGATTGGTTTAGATCGTATCTCCACAACAGGACATTCTGCGTTAAACTGGGTGATGTTTTTTCTTCTTGGGAGGGGCTCCACTGGGGGGTCCCGCAGGGATCGATTCTTGGTCCTCTTTTGTTTGCCATTTATCTGCTACCTCTGGGGTCAATCTTTTGTAAACATGGCCTATCATTCCATCTGTATGCTGACGATTGCCAGATTTACTCTCCATTGTGTCAGGAGAAAGGCCACTCTATCCAGTCCTTTGTGTCCTGTGTTAATGAGGTGAAGTCTTGGCTAATGGCCAACGTTCTGCATCTGAATGAGGGAAAGACAGAGCTTATTGTTTTTCACCCCAACAGCAGGAATGTGGATCGTTATGCTGATCTTGGCCCTCTTTCTCCATACTCAAAACCAGTTGTGACCAGTTTGGGGGTGAAACTTGATGTAGGACTTAAATTTGATGCTCACATCAACTCTGTGATCCGGTCCAGTTTCTTTCACCTGAAACGCCTTGCAAAAATCAAGCCCATGCTGTCGAGAGCCCACCTGGAGCGGGTACTGCATGCCTTTGTAATTTCTAGGCTTGACTACTGCAGCTCTCTCTATGCAGGGTTGTGTCAGTCTTCACTGCGTCGCCTACAGGTTGTGCAGAACAGCGCTGCCAGGTTCCTGACTGGGACCAGGAAACGGGACCACATCAGTCCGGTTCTGACCTCCCTGCTCTGGCTTCCGGTTCGCTATCGTTCACACTTCAGACTCCTCGTCTTTGTTTTTAATTTCTTCCAGGGTGGTGGTCCCCCCTATCTAGCCACACTCCTGAACAATCATTCCCCATCACGCGCTCTGCGCTCCTCTGACCAAGGCCTGCTCGCTGTCCCTCGTTCTAGGTGTCGTACTCGCGGGGACCGGGCTTTCTCAGTCCTAGCACCATCACTCTGGAACCAGTTGCCACCCTCAGTTAGGCTGTCCCCATCTCTGCCAGTCTTCAAGAGTTGCCTAAAAACCCACCTCCTCCGCTTGGCGTTTCCTGAACATGTTTGAATTTGGCCCTCTTTTATGTTGATTTTATCTCACAGTTTTCATTGGTTCACTCAATCCATTGTTTTACACACTTGTCTTCTACTAGAATGTTTCACCTTTTTTGTAATTTGTATTTTGTAATTTGAATTGCTTTTATTTTCTGATTTATTCATTAGATTTAACTTTGTACTGTACCATGTTCAGCGCCTTGGGCTTCCTGACAAGGTTGCAGAAGGTGCTTTATAAATAAAGCTTTGATTGATTGATTGATTAACTCAAAGCTGGTAAAGCCAGCAGGGAAGGTGATGGGTTTACGAGCAACAGTCCGTTTGAAGATGGTCAAAAGACCCCCACCACAACCAGTTGCTCTTGGATAATTAAAATATACCTATGCTCCCCATCGATGATGTGATGAATGCAAACTTCAGCAGGCTGACGACCTCACACCAGGGGGATCGTTGTCCTTCTGTCAGAGTGGCCAGCATGGAGCCAGAGGCGATGAAAAGGGAACAACCTTAGAAACACAACATGTCTAACATGATTAGTTTCTGTTTTCATTTTCAGTTACAGCAAATCAAGTCCCAACACAACGCAAAGACATGCACTACAAAAGGTTCACCAAGTACATGAAACTTTTTGTGTTGATGAAAGCTGTACCTAAGTCTGACAGGGTGAGACTGATGAAGGGAAACCAGTAGTGACAGCAGATCTGACCCCTGCACTAAAAACACAAAGACGTAAATTAGCAAAGGGACAGGACATCTTTATTTCTGTGCTTATTTGAAACACTATTTTATCAGTCTTCTTTAAAATGTGACATTCTTTAACACAGAGACCACGACACATTTAGCAGCACCTTGCTAAAGTATGCATACCCCTTGAACTTTGACGTATGTTGATGCCTTACAAGCTTAAACGGTTTCTATTGAGATTTTCTGTGACAGACCACCACAAAGTAGCTGAATCAAACTGATTCATGCTGCTCAAGATTTTAAGCAAATAAGAATCTGAAAAGTGTGTGTGGCGTGCATAAACCCTTTTACTGCCTGTGGAAATGAAGCTCTACCCAATTCACTAACAACAATGACAAGTCAAAAGCGGTTTAAACCTTAACTTTTAACTTTTCAGAGCATAAAGTGCCAGGCTGTGGCGTGTCCAGATGCCAAATTTGCTTCTCTAACAACAGGTGAGTGAAATTTTACAGCGTGGTGAGAGAAGGACGCGGGGAAATGCCGTGGTTTGGTGAGACCGACACGATGGTCCAATGGTTGCTTTTTGGTCTTAGAAGTGTTGCTGGTGGATGATTTTAGACACGTGTGAGAGAACTACTTTCACTACTTTTTTAACTCCACAATATACTTACGGCTTTACTATGTTTGAACATTGTTAAAAGGCATGAAAATAAAGTGTTTTGAGCTGCTAAAGAAACTTTAAAGGAGACATATTATTTAAAAAAATCCACTTTTGTATCCCTTAATACCGTGTGTTGCACATTTCAAGTGTCTAAGTTTCAGCTTGCTGACTTAGTGAAACTGAGGAGCTCCATGAAGCCAGCTGACTCTTCGGTGGACTGCCTCCCGGATAAATTGGTGCGTGACTCTGTGTCTGCCCTGAGCCCGGCACTCATGAACATTTTTAACATTAGCCTCAGCACTGGAGTGTTCCCTAGGGTTTTTAAAGGTCCGGTTGTTCAGCCGATATTGAAGAAACCTGGTTTGAATCACTCCTTTTATGAGATCTTCTGCCCTGCATCAAAAGTCCTGTTCCCCTCGAAGGTACTGGAGAAAATGGTTCATGGACAGATTTCTGCACACATGAACAGCAACTCACTGCTGGATGTGTTTCAGTCCGCCTTCAGGCCACACCATAGTGTCAGGTTTGGCTCTGTTCATATCTACATCTTTTCAGTCTACCAGGTTAACACCAGAGGGCGCTGTGGTGACGCACACCCACAGTTGTCTATCATTGCCACAGTGCCACTCTCTCAGTCCTCCAGGCGACGCCCTTTTCCAGGTATTTTTCTAACAGGAAGTCTGGTTGAAATAAGTCTCCACCGATGCCTTGACTCCCACTTTAAAGGACGTGCAGTTACAGTGCACACTGGTCATGAATTAACCTGGCAGCAGCCAGATATCTGTGTAGCGTCGCTTCGTGTCGAGTCACATTCTGATCTGGAATCTGCAGCAGAAACCTTCTGAAAGAGGGGGGGCTGTCAGGTAGAATATTTTTGATTTGATTGGCGGACGCACAAGGTAGTGCCCGGCTGGCACTGGCTACCATATTCTGTCTTTAGCCAATCACAGTAACAACTCAAATGATATTTACTATGTGCGCCTGGAAAACAACAACAACTCGCTCAAGCTTCATTCATTCTCTCAAGCGGGAATTACTGTCTTCGGGTGATTTCTGCCAGTTTCGCGAGAAGAGTGTGCTCATAAAGGACGGGGTTTACCCCATCGCTGCATCAGGATGGCGACCGCCAGGCTAAGCGTGGTCCCGGCCCTCCCTCCCCGGCCCTACCTTCACAGATGACACGGACGACGCACGACAGCGAAGCGAACCGCGGGCCTCCCCTCCGCTGATGTTGAAGAGAGACGGTAGCGGAGCACAGCAACCCCCGACCCCCGCATCCCCACCCCGCTCTCATGGTCCGGCCCGCGATATTCCATCATGTTTGAAAAATAGTTACAAAATGAGAATTGAACCGACGTCTTTTCTGGCCGTGACATTGTCTCATTTGGACGTTTAATAATTAAATTTAGTCTTCTTATTACTGCATTACTGTAATAAAATTTCGTTAGTGGAATAAAACAACATGTCCGTAAGTCATCTGAACAGAAAACTCAAATGTTCCTGCCTGGATTTGAACCTCGGCGTGAAAGGAGGATGCCTTACCAGTTGAGCTATAAAGTCATCTAGTGGATGTACACGACTGATTCACAACCTGCTATATGTTGAACTACACGTAACTAGTTGTCAAAATAACAACTACACATGTAGTTGTAGACATGTACAAATAGATCTGAATAGATTTTTAGGGAATGTTCTGTTTCATATGTTTTAAGTCATTTTAAATGTCTGACCGGGAACATTTTTGGCCGTGGACACCGCCATCACAGCCCTTTACTTTTTAAATTGTCAACGAATTTGTTAAAGTAAATTTATAAGTGCGTTACTACCGCTAGCCACTGATGCTGCAACTACTAAGCAACTAACCAACCATAGATGGCTTCTCTGGATCTAAAGTAACGTTTTAAATTAGTTGACTTACTTTTATCTCATTAACTGACATTGACGACAAATGTTGTCATTTTAAATCCAACCGTTCGCTGTAAGAGGCAAGTCTCCTCTTGGCTTTGTTAGTTTTGGGGTTGACATCATCAGAAAGTGCAACGTTATGTGATTTTAAAAAAACAGTGAAAACGCTGAAAAAGGCTGGCAGCGAAGGGCTTTTCTGATCAGGAAACCGCTGGCACCGAATGAGTTCAACTTGAAATTTGCCCCCAAAGTAGCTGCTGGCTTCTGATCCGCCATCTTTTTGAAAATACTGCAGTGTATTCTGGGAATATTTGGACCAAGGCTAGACTAAAAGACACCTCCCATGTATCCTTGCTCAGCTAGCTAAACAGCTAACGAACGGTGAACATGAACACTGGAGCACGTCCAGCTCAGTGGCCTAGTGGTAGAGAGTCCGCCCTGACACTGGGAGATCAGTTTTGTTCCTGGTCGGGTCATACCAAAGACTTTGAAAAAATGGGACCCAGTGCCTCCCTGCTCGACACTCAGCATTAAGGGGTTGGATTGGGGAGTTAAACCACTAAATGGTTCCTGAGCGCGGCTGTGTCTGCAGCTCACCGTTCCCCCAGGGGATGGGTCACATACGGAGAACAAATGTCGAACACACATCAGTGTGTGTGACAACTAATGGGACTTTAACTTAACTTTAACGTCTTGGCGTTTCCTGATGACGTATCTCCTAGGCAACTGGGGTGGGGCCAAGACATCGAGGCAAGGTTCCTTGTCATTGAGAAACACCCTAGATCCCACAGCACTGACACACGATTGGTCCAGCCTATTTCAGGCTAGAGGTCGGACGGTTTGAACTGGAGTGGTACAAGATGGAAACCTCAGAATCTTGTGAGAATTCATCGTGCTACGAAAGGTTAGTCATGAATGCATGAAGGTTTTCAGTTTTGATTTAAAAGTTTAGAGTTGGGGCACATTTGAGGTCGTGAGGACGCTGATTCCATCTGTGAGCAGCATAGTGACCAAAACCAGCTTCACCCTGTTTGGTTCTGACCCGGTTCTACTAGCTGACTGTTTCTTAAGGACCGCAGATCCCTACATGAAGGAGATCCGACATGTATTCTGGCCCCTTAGCATTGAGTGGTTTGTAAACTAGTAAAAATACTTTGAAATTAATTCTGTAGTGTACTGGTAACCGGTGTGGATTTAAGAACAGGAGCGATGTGCTCGGTTCTCTTGGTGCTGCAGCGTTCTGAATAAGCTGTTTTGGGAAGACCAGTCAAAAGACAACTGCAGTAGTTGCCCAGCACCCTGCTGGGGATGATCACATGAATGAGTTTCTCTAGGTCTCATCTGGACATGGTCCGCAGCATCAACAGCTGCAGTGAGATGGAGCGTCATCAGCACAGATGTTTTGCCTGAATCTGTATTTAGACTAATATCATTTAAGACCTTAATCCGAGCGGTCCTGGTGCTGTGGTGTTGTCTAACGCCTGCCTGGAGACCATCTAGCAGGTTATTTGTCTCCAAAAAGCTGTTCAGCTGGATCATAACAGCTTTTTCAATCATTTTCCAATGAAAGGGAGTTTAGAGATTGGTCTGCTGTTATTTCTCACTAAGGAGTGATGCTTAGCAGCAGCAGCTTTCAGTGATTTAGGAAAATTACCTGACATGAAGGAACAGTTAACAATTATCAGTACATCAGCTTTTAAAAAGCTGGAAACATTTTTGAAGACGTTCGTTGGCAGGTTAGATGGGTTTAAGGCCTTAACTACGTCCTCTAGTGTTTTAGCACTAATCACACTGAAAGCTCGCATTCTGCCCAGATTTTCACATCCCAGTGCACTCTGCCCCTCACCTGCCAACCCGCTGCCCAGTCGTTTTCTCCTAAGCCAGAGCTATTCAAACCTGGGCCTCGAGGGCCGGTATCCAGCACGTTTTAGTTTTAACCTGCTTCAACACACCTGATTTTAATCAGCAGGTGAGTAACAGGCTTCTGCAGAGCCCGATGAGCTGCTGCACAGGTGAGTCGGCCACTGAATCTATGGTGTTGGACCAGAGAAACCAATAAGACGTGCTGGACGCCGGCCCTCGAGGCCCGAACTTGAACAGCTCTGTCCCACGCTGCTCACCAGATTGCTCGTCTCAAACCCAGAAGCCCCCACTTCAGGACCCCAGATCCCCAGCTCTAAGTTGTGAATAGAGTCATGTAACCTGACCACTGCTGAGACCTAGCTGGTTCTGTACGTGGGTCAGAAAACTACCAGCCATCATGACGTAGTCATATAAAAGGAGAAGAACCAATAAACACATTTTATTGGTATGATTTCAGCTCCATAGAAACAAACAGTGATGGTAATTAGTTTTAATGTTTTAATGGAGTCCCACCCATAATACAGGTCCTTCTCAAAAGATGAGCACATTGTGAAAAAGTTCATTATTGTCTGTAATGTACTGATAAACATTAGACTTTCA